GCAAATTCGTTCCTTTGTTAAAAGAAATAGTAGAAGTTGCTGATAAACTCACAGAATTTTATCAAAATGTAAAGTATAATAGACGAATTTGTGGATTCCTAATTGTCAAAATACAAACAGCCCGTGCTTCAATAAGAAGTCTAGAAATTTGTGCGAATGGATTTCCTGAATGCACTGATTTTTTTACTCAAGAAAACAGTACAAATCTACGAAATTTTAAACTTGTTATGAGAAAAATTGAAGAATTCATCAGAAAACTTCAAGATATCCACAATCCCCGATTATTTTTTGATCCAAATGCTATAAAAAATATAAAAAATGAATTTTATGGACTCATTACGGAATTCGATGGATATATGGAATTGTTAAAATTTTTAATAACCATCGAAATAAGGCAGCAAAATATTGACTTGATAAATAGAGATATTGAAGAAACGAGAGAGGTAACATTCATGTTTTGTGTTATGAATTTATATGTAAAGGATATAATAATGTTTTTTTTAATAGTACCTTCTATCTATTATGGAAAGTGTTAATAAAGAACAAATAAATAAAATCGAAGAGATTAAATTAAGCGACAGTGAATTGCTACAAAAAATTATGATTAAAAAACTTTATGTCCTTAGCTAGAAAAGTGTATCTTTGTAAAACGTATTAAAAAAATATTACTATTAAAATTTATATCTTCGATCAAAACAATGCCACAAGCTAAAACAACTTTCAAACAACGGTGACATTTGAAATTTGCATGTAATCAGCAACAATTTTCAAATAAAAAAGATAAAAATGTTGCTGAAAATGGTTATGAAAGTACAAGTGACGATATCACTTTACCCAACTTAGTAAATATATCTACTATATCAGCAAGTTCACAATCGTCTGATATTGGTAAAAATGTTGTTGAAAATGGTTATGAAAGTACAAGTAATGATATTGCTTTATCCAACTTAGTAAATATATCTACTATATCAGCAAGTTCACAATCATCTGATATTGGTATAAATGTTACTGAAAATGGTTATGAAAATACAAGTAATGATAGTCATAATAATATTGCTTTATCCAACTCAAGTTCACAATCGTCTGATATTAGTAATACACTGTTAAATTTAGAAATAAATATTACATCCACCATATCGGTAAGCTCACAACAGTCAGATATTGAAATTGATCTTAAACAACACAAAATCGACGAACTTTTAGAGAATGTGATCAACTTGCCAGATTCAGTTCTAACAACATTTATTAATATAATCAAAAAAATTGCACAAAAGCAATTTCATCAATCACAATAATTAAAAATGTGGGAGACATTATTAAATATATCAATTTTTTATCACTGCAACTCTTTTTGACGATCACTTGGTCAACAACAATTTACTGAACTATAGTCAGCGATATAGGAAAGCAACATAGTGGACACAGCAATATTCTTGGTTTTGCACTAAACAAACTTGTTGTCGATAAAGCCTACAATATGTGAAACACTGAGGAGCAGGCATATAAGAATATTAGGCAGGTTTGTGCCTTGGGTCAAGTTTTCTTTCTTTGACAGACTTCCTCACATGTTCGGCATCCAAACTAGAAGGTTTATTCTAAGAACAAGTAGAGCAAAGTCTCTGGGCAAGAATATCAAGTAGATACTTGGAAACTGGACTATACAACTGTAAAACTTA